GAGGTCTGTGAGTACTTTATAGCATTGTTGTAGTAGTGTGCTTGCTACGCTCGTTTACGATGTCCTTAAAATATGCGACAACTTGCAAGATTGTTTGAAATTATAGCGTTACTGAGATAAATGCTTGCAGAATCGAGACATGTGCTTGAGATATCTTACGTCATGGTGAATGTCTGATACATCATAATCAAATGCTTGCCAGCTATGTTGTGAGATTGCTTACTGTAATTTTGGTTGAATAGTAAAAGTAGATTGTGACTTTTTCTGCGAATAATATACTCAAATTTCTCTATGCAAATGAAAGCAATGAATGTGTCCATCAACTTGCATACCAATTTACGTGATGAAATAAACAAGTAGGAAGCAATTACAGCCTAAAATCATAAGCAAGCAAACGAAAGAAATGGAAGGAGAATGACAAATGCGATAGCTAATTAACTCGCTGGCTTTAATTCATTCACTTGATGTTTACAGTTTCGCAGCTAGAAGTTGCAGCATATGCAACAAAAAAACGATCAATGACAATCATATTTGTTTTGTCTGCAGTATCTTTGCTGATTTAGCAATATGTGGACATGAACTGTCAGGGATTCATAGCTAATTTGCACTTTCAGTGACCGCGCGATAGCAAGGCATCATCAGTTTATTATATACAAAGTGGAAGCTCCAAAATCACCGAAAGATTGTTGCAGTAAGTTTTACTTGCTGCGATGAGGTGAGGTGGAAGGAAGAGGAGGTGATGTTAATGCTGAAAAACATTGACTGCTAAAGCTAAATGCAACTAGCTTACATTCATTCTCACTGTATTCAATGGAATCACGACTACATATGATGTAAATCGTGATTGATTTTACAAATCAGGAAACCGATCTCAGGAATTTCTTTTCCAAAAGTCTTGCATTTGAAGTGAAAGCAGTGATAGAAATGGCCCTTCACAGATAGCAGAAAAAAGAATAAGAGGTCAGTTTACTGGAGTTATGAGAGGATTATAGGTCAGATTGTAGAGGTTAAAGGTCACTCAGACAGGAAACAGTAAATGAAAATAAGGGTGTGGATCATTCTTCTTATGGAAATTAGCGCCTGAGACCTAATGAGAGAGAAAGTGGAAGAGAGAGAAAGGGTCACGCGGCGCTAATGGCAGCTCGCGACTGATTAATGACACTTCATTCTCTGTATGTATTTCTGAGTGTGTGTATGTATGTGTGTGTGTGTGTGTGTGTGTGTGCGTTTGTTGCCACATTTATCATCCCAACCTTTCACTCCTTTCCAACTAACAGAAAAAAGGGACTGAAAGGTTTGAATTTATGACCACCTTTACTCTCAAGCAATATAATATTATTTACCCTATTTAAACTTTGTTTTGTCAATCTGATTACAACGTTTACTATTTAAGTCTCTTTCAGTCGGTCAAATACCAAAAAATGCTTAACCTTTAACCCTGTTAAATTTTTTGACTCCTTGTTGCATTGATAAGATTACAGTGCTAGGCATCTAAGTAAATTTAAATTAGGTAAGACTTGACTGTATCAGTAATGTCTCAATGCCTGTCTTGTAATATTATTTCACATTGTCACAATGATTTTTTACAAAATTTGAAACCGTTGATTTTTACAATTTTTACATTTTCTTGTCGATACTTCATTTCATCGAAGTTCCTTTTGTTTCTTATCAACGTGGGCTTTCAACCTATTCATTTCCACTTAGAGTAAGTCAACACTTTGTAATTATGTAACGCAACTTGTTACTATAAGTTTTGAACGGAATGAAAATGTCTAATCTATCTTTTCATATGTAGTTCACTCGCTATTTGATGTTGCTTGTAGTTCACAAAAATTTCAGGTGTTAATTATTGTTCACACTTTCAGTCCTCAAATTCACCATGGTACTTATTTTCCGCTTTCCATCCATATCTGCATGCGTAAATAAATCCATTTATTATCCATTATTCATCATCGATAAGTCATTTTACAAAAATTGTACAGTTCTTGACTTAACCACCTTATTGGTACTGCTTGCCTACTTTCTAAGAATTGTTTTATAATATTAGTCTTTACGTAAATGTTCTTTACGTAACTAACCTATGACATATGCACATATGGACACAACTGGCTAATAATTTTTATTATTGAGTTAACACTGAAGTGTAGGTGCGAACAAACATTCCTCCCAATTTTTGAGTTTTTGCTAGCTACTAGCTGCTATGAAGTGATTCAGGTTTTCACATAATATTCATAATATTCAGGTATTCACTTTATCAATAATTGAAAGCCCATATCACACAGTTCATAATTTTAGAAAGCTATCGGATAGAGTTAAAAAGCAATCAGAAATTCTCTCTGCCAAGTTTCTCATCATTCTGCAGAAGTATGGGGAGCGCCTTGCCTTCAGTGATTGAAGATTTTGATCATTTCTACTCTATACTTCATTCTTGTTTGCTATAATTTTTTCTTATTTTCCGAAAATTTCGGTTAAATTCAAGTTGAATATAAAAGAAATGTACAAAACATTGTAAATGTATGATAGCAATCACTTCTAGAAGTAGTACATGCATGTATGTAATGTATGTATTTTTCTTTCTAATGCAGTCAATGAAATTTGAAAGTTTAACTTTCGAAGTTGTAATTTATGTACGGAGCAGTAAAGACAGACGTTGGTATTGGCATTGTGAGTGATAGATAGGCTACTGATAAAGATTATGATAAGAAGAATGCAAGAATTTATTGGCTGTGAGAGGAAGGAATAAATGAATGAGTAAAGAAAGAAAAAGCTTACTGGTGCACTTTAGCAGTGACAAATTTTTCATGAAAATTTATGCATCATTTCAAGATGGTTCAACTCAATTCTTGAACAAATAAGTGGATAAAGTAGATCAATGGATGAATATATATGTACATAAATAGATGGATTAACAGATAGATAGATGGATAGATAATGATTGAATAAATAATTATTTCTTTTTCATTTCTATTTTTCATTCTTAAGTTTATCAACGTATCGTTTGTGGTGACAACGGAAGGATCCACTTTGCTCACATGCCCACATCTGTCTCAATTCATTCACTCTTTCTTTTATTCGTGGCAGTGAGATGGGAACTTTCTCGTTCACTTTTATCCTTCCTTAAATTTATCTCATTTATATTCATTAATTCATTCAGTTAGCTTTTCTACTAGATCACTCTGTTTATAAGAATATTATTTACTTAATTAATTAATCTGAACTAAGCATTGTTGAGGGAAGGAATGGATTTGCATGGGAGTAATAAATTTTACTCTTACATTTTTGTCACAGTATTATATCTTGGTATACTTTTGGCAACAGTAAGGAAATAATATAGATCAGGTTTTCTATGTTAGTCTTATTGGCTTATTTGAAAACCTGGAAAGATCTTAAAGTCGTTTACTCGGTTGACCATTACACGTACCCAACGTGCAAGACAAGACGTGCTTTTCCAACTGAAGAAACAATTTGTCACGTAGAGTAGTATTATTGATTGCATTCAACTTTTTCACTTTCAAAATAAAGCAATGCAATCATTCTTTGTGTTAAGAATGATGCAATAAGTATTTTTCTGCTTTCATTGTGTTTCATATTTTGGTAGGGTGTATGTATACTTTATTATAAGAAACTTCTGCTTGCTTTTGCATGCTTTTTACATTTTCAATATTTTTAAGCCTCACAAGAGCTTTTTACTCTAAGAGAAGAATCAGATATATGAAAGGATGGGATGTGCCTTTCTTAGTTGTCACTGTTAGCAATACTAACTAGTAAGACTGAATGTAGTAAATATTCGTCTGCTAAATATATCTTACTAGTGTTATGCTAATGTTAGCTATTACTTACTTAATTATATCTATTAAGTAAAGTTATCAAAATATACTGTGCTGTGATTTATTATTTCAGCCAGTTGTTACTGTTAATGATATTTATAGTTGTTTTTTTCAAATATCATTTTCTTCATTTATTGCTCTAAAATTTATTGGCGTGATTTTTGATGAAAGTAACGTGTCATGGTTATTATTGGTAATTAATTTTAAATTTTTTCCGATTTTAGTAATGATACGATAAAAAATGAGAAAAAGGAATGCAAATGAATGAATGATCACATTGTACACGCAGACGAACACCATCATCAACACAGCCTACAATTTCTGCTACTGTTATTACTATTATTGCTACCATTACTGCTACTTTGTAAGGGTTTGTGTTATTTTGCGTCTTTTTTATTTTATATAGTTTATTATTACGTACTCTTCCGCCCTTATTATGGCAAATAGTCATTAAACTTTGGTGGATTATGATAATCTAACAGTGCATTACATGATAATTATGATTATGATTATTAATACTGTTACATTGTCAGTTTTATAAACGATGAAGCAAGTCATACTGATTTTGATCCCAATATATCTTTCATTTTCAACAGTTTATGCAAATGTGGCAATTGTAAGCGAAGGATATCAGGTTAGATTTAATTACTCAATTAAATTTTTTATACTTTCTGCAATTATCAAATTGAATACAACTACGAGGGGAAAAAATTTTTCACGCTTTTCCTAACTAATTTATGTGCTAAACACTGAAACGGTATTTACATTCTAACTCATTTGTAATTGTAATTCAAATATTTTCATTTGTTAATTAGATTCATTTATCACGATATCTGAGTGATTAGATTTGAAAAAAGAGCGTGATATGTGAACATTATTTCTTGTTCACTTTTATTTAGTATTTTGTCTTGTAATGCTACTTCATTACTTACTAGTGTTTTTGCGTAATTTGTGGAATTCTGGTATATTTCAAAAATACATTGAAAATTAGTGCTAGATTTTAATTCTGTAACTCTCCTGGCAATCACTCGACTGCTGCTGCTGCTTTAAATCTGCTTGATTCATTCACATTATATGTAAGTGTATTCAACTTACAACATTATATTTTCATCTCAAAATTATTGGTTATTCAAGATAAAAAAGGCATATTCATTTAGAGTTGTGAATCTCAGTTTCATACGTCAGCTTATAATGCATTCCATATTTGCATGCTTGCTGCTATCGTAGTATTTGTTTGCTGGGGTTAATTTATGCCAAGCATTAGCAATTGCTTTACAAATCCAAGCGCTGTTGCTCGTGTCAAAATTTATGGCTTTATAAGTGTTCGCTTCACAAATTTTCCATGCCATAAATTTGTCACAGAAAAACAAACTTACATAATATGCCAAAAAGACTATTGAAATTATCATTGTTAACTGGCCAATAAATTATTTGGAACGTTTTTCGAGTTCACATGATTCATTTTTGGTATTGACAACTCTCTAAGATTGGAATTTATTTCCATTTTTACATCATCTTCAATTAATCAATTAGTTAATTTGTCATTTTTTATTAGATAGATCACTCATTAGTTGTACCTATTAAATTGGATCATCCTTTTTCGATCTTTATCTGTGCTCTAAATTCATTGTGAAAATTTGAACTCTGACATCTTCTGTTTATTTTTTTCATTACTTATTATTGTGTATTAATAATAGATATCAAAGTATTACTCAGCTATTAATAGTAGCTATTCAAATATAATATTACTAAATTTTATATGAATTGATGAATTGTGTCTTTTTTAAGGATTTCAGCATTTTTCATATTTTTATGACATGATTTTAGAATGCTGCTGCAAATGATAAATGCATTCCAATTACAATGCAAATGTGTCGGGATATTCCATACAATATGACGCTATTCCCAAACATTTTAGGGCACACTAAAGAGGAAGACGCATCGCTCGAAATCCATCAATTCTTGCCACTTGTTAAGGTCATATAATGTTCTCTTCTATAATTTACATAGCTTATAATTTTTCTGCTCATAAATTAATGCAAAAAGTTCGTAATCGTATTCAAATGAGCGTAGTTTTCAAATTTTGGACAAAGAAGTAGATTTTTATGATTGTGGTAGAAGCAAGCAAGTTTTGAAAATTGACTTCAGAAATGTAATGTAAAACGAAATTTTAAATTTATGTTTAGTTTATTAATTTATATTATTATCAGACTAATAGTACCTTATGATAAAAGAATGATTACATATATTGTACAAGTGAGCTATTTAGTATAAAATAAATCAAAAAGTTCGGAGTATCAAAATTTGAATTCAAATATTTCAGGTAAAATGTAGCGAAGATTTGAAATTTTTCTTATGTACAATATATGCACCAGTTTGCACAGTGCTTGGACGACCAATTCCACCATGTCGTCATTTATGCTTATCTGCCAAAAATGGTTGTGAAAATTTGATGAATAAATTTGGCTTCAAATGGCCATCTTTATTAGCCTGTGAACGTTTTCCGGTTGATGGTATGTGTGTAGGAGAAAATAAATCAGACGCAAGTACTGAAGCACCACATTCAAGATTCCGAAATCCAGTAATGCAGATAGAATGTCCACATACTATGCAGGTTAGATTAGTCTTAGTTTCCGTAAAATAAAATAGGTAATAATTATATTAAAGCAATGGAGTTATAAAATGACTGTCTTTTGAGATTGAATAATATAGCTTAACCTATGAACCAATATATTTACATTTTATATTGTATCAAAATTGAAGATATCAGCCTTTTTTCCGATTTCTAAATTTCCATCCTTTTTTCAATACAACATATTAGTTTGATAATTTTTATATCATCAGAATAAAAAAAAAGTAATCTTTTGATTATACATTGCTAATATGCTGCGATAAAAGTAAGTATTTAGTTGCATTTCCAGTAATATGATTGTTTTTTCTCTTTCAGGTCATAAGCAAATCTAAGTACTCTTTGAAGATTTTGAACACTACATTAGAGCAGTGTTCACTACCATGTTCAGCTGATAATTTAGTGCCAATGTTTTTTGATACCCGAATTCGACGTTATTTAAGATTTTGGACTGGTATTTTATTCTATTCTCTAATCTTTTTAGTTTATTTCAAGTTTTTTTTTTTACTTATTACATGATAATGAGTCCAGAATCATTATGATTCATTTTATACTGTAATCATTGTACTATCAGAAGCTGTCTGTAGCATTGTAAAAAACTTATATTATACCAACACAATAAATTATTGCTAACATTTTGATAATTAATAATAAGGTAGTAGTGAATAATTATTAGTGAAATGACGTGATCTTCCAGGTGCTTGGGCGGTAGCTTGTTGTGCAAGTTCACTATTCACAGTGCTAACATTTTCAATTGATATGGCTCGTTTTTCTTATCCAGTGAGACCTATTCATTATTTAGCAGTTTGTTATCTATTTATATCACTCGTCTATATGGTCGGCCTGGTTGCTGAGGATAAGATATCTTGTTCTGCTGTTTCTGCAACCAATAGTCCACTTGTTTCTCAGGGTATTGACAACTTCCCTTGTACTGTTATTGCTATTGTGCATTATTACTTTAGGTTAGTTATTTTTATCATTCATACTGGAAAATCTTCAAAAATAATTGTCTAATCATAAAGTTATTTCAACATATGCTAAAACTAAATTAATTTCTCAAAAAGAACTCGATTGTTAAAATGTACTAAAATACTAATCTTGATTTCAATCGTATTTTTTATTTTTGCAAACTTTTCTATGATTATAAGAAAAATTTCGTATAAGAAATGGATTACTTTTCTTAATAAACGATGGTAAAATTTAATTCATTTTAACTTTTGCATTCTCATATGTGAATTTCAACCTTATCAGTTTATAGTGTGGCAAGTAGTTTATGGTGGGTGATATTATGCCTAGCTTGGTTTCTAGCAGCTAATCTGAAATGGGCTCAAGAATCAATCGAAAGCTTAGCTTCATATTTCCATGTACTTGCTTGGGGTATTCCAGCATTTCTCTCGATTGTTATTCTAGTCACCAATACTATTGATGGTGATTTATTCACTGGAATTTGTTCTATTGGCAATTTAAAACCATCAGCACTATTTAATTTTGTATTTGTACCAATATTTACTTGCATCGGTTAGTATTCACTTCTTCACTTGCAGCACATTTTTTTGTAAGCCTAAGCCTAATTATGTCATAATGTTGTTATAATAGAAGGATTATCTTTTCTCATACACTGTGAGTATTTTAGAGATAAAATTTCAATTTTTTGAACATAAAAAAAAGTTTAGTAATTGTTGTCAAAAATTAATAACTGTTATAGCACTCGGCTTATTACTGCTTGGATGTGGTATTGTTTCAATGCTTCGAATTCGTCGTTATATCAAATTCAAGCATAGTGATATTGATCAAAATATTCGAAAATTAGAAAAACTAATGCTTCGAATATCAGCATTTGCATTTATGTATACGCTACCAACAATGGTTAGTGCTGCATGCATAGCCTATGAAGCATTTATGATGGAAAGTTGGCTAGCCAATTGGTTAGCAATTCGATGTTCTCGTCCTGATCGAGCTGCTTTTGGTTTTGCGCAACCACGTCAGACGTGTATTCCACAAACAAATATAAGACCGCCAGACTTGTTGATTTATTTTTTCAAATATTTAATGCAACTAGTAGTGGGTATAACATGTGCAGTTTGGGTTTGTAGCAGTAAAACATTAAATAGCTATTCTCAAGCGTATGCCAGGTTTGTGCATGGCCGATCTCAGGTACCAACTACTGTTCATTAAGATGGTAATAAGTTATTTACTGTAATTTTATGATATTCTTGGAGTAAATGATGTTAATTTACTACCATATCTTACTTCAATTCTTATTTTGAAAAAAAAAAATGCAAATCCAGCAAATGAAATGTATCATTCGATTGTTTTCTATCTCTTATTTACTACTGCAAAAATAATAAGTATTTTTGAAAAGTTAATTTTTTTAGTGAACAACAATTTTCACACTTTTACTGACTTATTTGATTACAAACGTTGTAAATTTTTTAAAATTTATTTTAATTCCAAATAGTTGAAAATTTTTTGAAGAAATTTATTAGTGAGAATGGTTTGTGATAGAAAAATTTTGATTGGTTGTGTTTATGAAGGGTTTCAGAGGGAATGGTTGAGAAGGGTAGAGGAATGAATGTTTGTTCTGTAGTAGAAAGCCAGCAGCTGCCATACGTCCGTCCCAAATGTCAGTTTGCATATTTTCATCCATCTATTTGAATTGTTCTTTAGAAATTGAGACAAACACAGACTTCGAATCGAAATGATAAAAATTGAAATTCATACAACTGTTCAAATTTTCTTAGCAAATAGTTACAATTTTACGATAGGGAAGTAATTAAAATAGTGTTGAAATTTATGAGAGATTTTTTTCGATCATTATTATATTTTATGTTCAGTAATTAATTGCATTACATTCAGTGTATGATACATTGTATTTAGGAAGCATTATTATTTTTTGATGATTTTTCAAACTATCGATAGATAGTCATATGCAAAAATAGCTATGCATTTTAAGAACTTTTATGTTTAATGAGATTGCATGCGTAGAGTCGGATATGTATGTATTCAGCGATACCATAAGATTAGATTCTTTCTGTAATTATATTACGTTGTCAATCGTAGATGAAGTCAGAATAACATTAAAATAGAAATGTGCTATAAATTGTGTTCAGAAGTCTATTATACGCATTTGTTGTCCTTTTAGAATTATTGTACAAAATTAAATTAGAGTATTCAGAAGTAATTTTAGTACATTTGTTTAATGCTTATTTGTTACTAGCATTTGCAGTATATTTTACTTATATTTGTTTACTTGAAACTTTTTATTCAATCAAAGCTTACTGGCAGGATTTTCAGTGCTGAAAATATGCATATAGTTGATGTAATTAGTAAGCGCTGTCCATCTTTCTATACATTTATTTTTGATTATTTTATGTATTATTACATATTTTGCTTTATAAATTCATGTACATCATATTTAGTTTATATTTGTTTATTAGATTTTATAATTTTTTTTTTTGAAACTTTAGATGAATTTGATAATATTTTGTATTAAAGTTACAATTCATCATCCTAACAAAAGCTCAAAAGCGATAACTGAGTGTTTTTTTTAATTTTTTATCCCTTTGGAATAATTTTGACGTTCACTGAACTGCAATAAGAGTATAGACACATTGTAAAAAGACTTCATTGCATGAGAAATTATTAGCTTTACTTGAATTTCGTGCAGATTCTTATGGCTGTTTTTTCTTTAAACAGTAATAAAAATCAGAATGTCAAGTTATTGAATGCTTTTGGATTCATTCATTTCATATTTGCTAATTACTTTCTTGCTGTGTAAAATATGAAATTTTAACCAAAAAAGTTCTCACTATGTATTAATTACCATATTGGGTGTTATCATGGAATTATTCCGCTCAGTTCTATGTTGTGACGTATTTAGGGAGAGATAATATGAGAATTCAATGAAAAAACAACAATATTTTGAATATCGTACATAAAATGATAAGTAAATATCACATATATCTCATATCTCATCCTAACCATTAGACTAGTTCAAGTTTTAGTGAAAAAGCTCGTTACAAGGTATTATTCTTTGTTATTTTTTTTGTATGTCTATTATTATTATTATTTATATTATATTATGAATGTTTGTTTATCTTCCAAATATCAAGCAGGGTGTTGTATTCTTTATTCCTTCTGTTTCATCTAA